ATCCATAAAATAAAACATTATGCATGAGGTTGGAGAATAGTGAAGGACATAGCCAGCTTTGTAGTACTGACAATTAAGGAAAAAAATTGAGTTTCAGAACTGTAATATACTCTTAGCATATTTATAAAATAAAATGTACATATTTGAATAGAAAATGACCAAAGAAAATATTATAGTTATTTATTCAGTACCAATCTATTGAGTACCTACCACATACCATTATTTTTACAATGGGCAGAAGACAAAAACATCATTTCTGCTCATAGGGTTTACATACTATGGTTTCACTAAAAACTTTACATTATTAAAATGCAAACATTATAATAATGAATTGGTTGAGTGTGTACTATGTGTCTACCATGTATCAAAACACACACAATTTATGCACAGAATAACTCTTACAGGATTCATGCGAAAGAGATCATTAGTGCCTTTCAGGGAGAGAAATTAGGGGACAGGGAAGGAAAATCTTTTCACTATTGTTTCACATGCATGACTTTTTTCTTTACCAGGTTTATGTGTTATCTATCTTAAATAAGATGGGTTTTTTCTAATTTTTGGCTGGTATCCAATAATGCAGAATTGGGTGGAAAAGAATATGTGAAAAGCGTATATGGAAAATGAACAAAATGTTTTAAGACAACATATTCTATTTTTTTTGTTCTGTTTTGTTTTTTTGGTACCGGGGATCGAACTTGGGACCTTGTTCTTTCGAGGCAGGTGGCAGAACCACTGAGCTAAATCCCCGGACCAACATTTTCCATTTTTAATAAAAACATTCTAAACTAGAAGAACACGCTCCTAACACCAAGAGATTATTTCAAAGTGGTGGGGTGGTGAGGTTAATTTTACTTCCTTCTGTTTGCTCATCTTTATTTTCTGCAGTTTCCTGAACAGACTAACACAGTGTGTGTGCGTGTGTGTGCACACGCGCGCATGTGTGTGAACCCTATGTAACTTGCTTCTGCCAGGTGCTCAAATACACTCAAGAACTGTTGGCTGCACTCCCTTTACCCGAGGGGCTGAGTGATTAAGGAAGACAAAGAACAAGTCAAGGGCACAGGGCCAGCTCCCAGCCTCCCCTCACTTAGCACGGGCTGCCCAGCCAACCAGGGTGTCCTGCCAAGCCCTGCCCGATCCATGCTCTATGGAAGATCCCCAACTCACCCTAGGACCCCAGGGTGGCTGGTGTTACAGGTGAAAGGACACCTTCCAAGGTGAGTCAGCTTCTCCTGTAGATAATGTGTGCTGAGTGTGCTTTGATATTCTAAGACCTGAAGGACTCAAGCAGCCATGCCAAGTCCTGATTCAGTTTTGTCACTAGTTTGCCCTATAAAACACAGGTGAGGCATTGGAATCAGGGAGCCTCAAAGCTGGAGGCCATCTTCAACATCTCGTCTCACCCCCAACCCCATCTGCACTTTTCAATCCTTCTCCATCCACCTTCCACCCTGACTGTATACAGATCCCGGCGCAGCTCAAGGCACCTGTGCAGTCTGGACTGTGGAGAACCCCCTGTCCTGTGAGGCTCAGTACCTGCACCTCAGGTAGAGCAGGGCCAGCTGCTTAGGGTCTCACGTGAAGGAAGACACAGCTAGGAGGCAGCCCTGTCAGTACAGTGGTGAGGGCTTGTCAAGAGCCACCTCCGGGTCTGAAAGGACCACAGCACACATGGCCGGATCTCAGCTGGGCACACACAACCATCAACAGTGCCTAGGCTGCCTTCCTGCTGGCAGACCTGGGTGTCTTCTGACGGAGAATGAGGGGTGCGGAAGCCCAAAAGGAGTGGAAGAGAATGGAAAAGCCAACACAGACTCAGGCCACCTCTTTCAATGACGAGACACATGTTCAGCCTGTAGCGGGGAAATGTAAGGAATTTATTTTTGTTTTTGTTTTGGTACCAGGGATCAAACTCAGGTCCTTGTGTCTGCGCAGCAGACAGCGAAACCACTGAGCTAAATCCCTGGCCCAAATGTAAGGAATTTAACAGAAAAGGTGAGAAAAAAATAAAAGTGATGTTGGAAGAGAGAAATAAAGGAATGCAAAAGCTTTTGTGGTCACTAGAAAATAAGGCAGTTTTAACTCAGGGACTAGGGAAGGAGCTGGAGTGAGATTCTACCTTTATCTGCTGTCAGGAGTTCTGGCCTGTCCTCACCCTAAGGAGGAGAACAGACCACTGGATCCACGCCCCGGGACAGGCAACCTCAGAGGCCAAATCACTTTGCAGTCAGGTGCACCACACATAGGGAGGCACCAGGCATGGTCACCCACCAGACGGAAGGAGGAGGCCCCAGCCTGCCAATGCCTAGAGCAAGGTCAGCACCCACAGCTGCTAACAGCTCATGGTAGTCTAGGGAGACTACAGCTCTTGGAAACCACGCTAAAACAAGCTGAAATACAAGAGCCTAGAGTCATGCATGGCACCCTGCCTGGTACTCCCATTCTTTGTTAAAATGGTTTTTCAAATGAATTACACTCCAGCCTCTATACAATCAGGCGTTTGATCTCAAGATAGCTACAGCTCTGTGCCTTGCAGTTATGATATACAGGAGGCCCAGTGTACAAAATATATCAAGTGCTTATAAACAGTAGCCACCAACATTATCATCATCAAATGAAATTGTTGTTTGGCAGATCTTTTTATAATTTCAGTCACAAATCAGTAAAAATGTCCTTTATCAGTCCACTGGTTCAAGGACCGTTATCTCACATTGCTGGTCTTCTCCGTGTGGAAGACACAGCTTCAGGAAGGAAGAGAAATGCTTTAGGTGGGTGGCTGCTCTGCCTCACATCAGCTGGGGCAAGGTGAGAAGACTGACTTTCACCCCAGAAGACAGAGCCGCAGCAAGAGGGGGACCCTCTGCCCTGGGCTACCCAAAGCCCAGAGTGACAAAGCTACCAGGTCACATCAAGCATGGCTTGTGGAGGGCTTTGGGAGGAAGGAATTTTTTTTCCCTCAACTACTGCCAAAATGCCTAAATTCAGAAAGTCTTCCACATTCCCAAGCAGCTTTAAATCACAGTTGTGAAAGTCCTAAAACATTTTCTTTGCTCATTAACATAACTACCTCCTAGTTGCAAAGTGAAGACTGGGCCAAATGATCATAAATCTAAAGGAGACAGGAGTAAGTCCTGTCTATTTTTGCTGCCTATTTGGAGATAAAATTCAGGAAGAAAAATGGAACCTCCTGATAGAGATCTGTGAGGGATTATCTAGACTTCAATTAGCTGGGCTCCGCCAATGGTCATCTTCCTAAGATCCCGAGGCTGGGCTTTGGTCCAGGCCAGTGAACTTGCCCTTGAGGGTAACTTTTTTGTTGTTTTTTGGTACTGGGGATTGAACTCGGGACCTTGTGCTTGCAAAGCAGGTGGTGGCACCACTGAGCTAAACCCCCGGCCCGAGGGTAACTTTTTCTAAGCAACTGCCCAGCATTAGCTGAGAGAACATACGTGTCTGAAGCAATCTTGGGTCTCCCCCAATGGGTCTTGTGCCTGGCACCACAGCCCACACTGTGGACCACCTCAGCGGTGTAGGGGTATCCCATGGCACACCCTGTAGCCCCAAGGTGAGATCCAGGGACGTGTTCCTGCACAGCCATTTGATGGTGCATCATTGGAAGCTGTGGACCCCCGAGGTCCCTTTGCATCAGACGCTGACCTGGGAATGCCTACCCATCACTGGTCCAAAGAGATTCCCTGTCATATTTGTGGGCCCCTGTGGAGGGTGGGCAGAAATCCTAGGCCTTCACCTGAGCACACTCTGTATGAAAGGGCTGCTGGTCTCCTACACAGCAATTGTAACTGGGAAGTCAAGACGCCAGCCATGTACTTACCATGCGTCTCTCACAGGTCTTAGGCTGTCTTTTTTTTTGGTACCGGGGATCCAACTCGGGAACTTGCACTTTCGAGGCAGGCTGCGGCAGACCGCTAAATCCTCGGCCCCTAGGCTGTCTTGCTTAATCTTTACAGTCCTATAAAAACTTCTCTCTAGTTTACAAAAGGAAGTAAAGACTGAATTTTTCATTTCTGTCCTCATTCCATACACATAGGGAGGTTCTGTTCTAGGCACTGAGGCCCCAGCCCTAAACAAGACAGCTGGGCTTCTCAGGTAACTGAACTAGTTGAGTATATATTGCTAGTTACCAGGTAACCAAACTAGTTGTATACACACTATTCCCTCTCAAAAAGGGCAAATCAGTTCAAAGCCACGCCTCCTAAACTATGAGCAGAAATACCCACTTGGGCCTCTAACAATCACTCCAGCCTATGCTAATAAAGGAAGCTGATTTCCACTTGGCCCTCACCTTTAGCTACCATCTCCAGGAAAGTCCCAAGACCCTACTGTCCCCGCTTTTTTTTTTTTTTTTTGGTACTGGGGATCGAGCTTGGGTCCTTGCGCTTGTGCAGCAGGCGGTGAAAGCACTGAGCTAAATCCCCAGCCCTGCCCCTGCTTTTGAACTAAAGCACCAAGACGTGGACTTTTTCTCCAAATGCCTAATATGTTGCATCTGGGCCATTCTGCTAGCACAGGGAAGGAGACCGAAGGACTAAGAGAAAGCTACAGGCTGGGCCAGTGACACCAGACATAGGTAGGTGAGTAGGTACAGGAAGAGAGAAGAAAAAGCACTGGTGGGACTGGAAGACAGCCACTTCCTGAGGAGGCTAAAGCCCTGACGCTGCCTGCCTCGCAAGCCCAAGGTCCAGAGTTCGATCCCTGGTACCAAAAAAAAAAAAGATAAAATAAAGCCCTGAGTAGCTAATGACTCTGGAAGCACAGTTCCTAAGACACCCCGTAAAGAGGGTCCTGAGTGAGTGACTTTAGAGGGTCTCAAATGCCCTACTGAAGACTTCTTCCTCCCAGTACTGGGTTGAATAGGGACTCCTCAGAATTCATGCCCACCCAGAACCTCAGAGTGTGACCATACTTAGAAACAGGGTCTTTTCAGATATAATTAGTTAAATTACAATGATGCCACGTTGCATTAGGGTAGGTATGCTCACCAGAAGAAGTAACTGGGCCACAGATCCATGGCCTACATGAGGATGGAGTGAGGAAGCTACAAGCCAAGCAGAGCCAAAGATTGACAGCATCCACCAAAATTCAAATGCAAGAAGGACAGATTCCCCTCGGATCCTTCTCAGTGTGTCCCTGCCAACACCTGGTCTCCAATTTCCAGCTTCTAGAGTGGCAAGGGAAGAAAACAATGTTGCTTGAAGCTCTCCAGTTTGTGGTACTCCGGTATGGTAATCCCAGGAAACTCACCCACTCCCCTGCTTTCCACCTGTTCCCCACACCACGCTTCCCCAGGCTCAGCCAGGCCAGGCGCAGTGGGGAAGACACGGACCCTGGCCTCTGTCCTCGGCTGCTTCCTGATGCCCCTCATCCCTTCTCTCGCAGGGAGGAGCGCAGGCATCACATTTCAGCTGCCCACCTTCTGCCAGGAGGCAAACTGGAAGGGGAGGTTTTGTTTTCTTCCTCAACCTTCCAGTTTCAGAGTCTATTTCAATTAGATCAGCGTTTCTTAAATTTCATTCAGGTTCATCATACACACACGCACACACACTTGGCCAAAACTATGCACCCCCAGTACCACCATTTACCTAATATTTCATTACACTGAGTTACTACTTTTACTTAAATATATTTATATTAGGCAAGTGCTATACTACTGAATTACACCCCTCGCCCAATGGATTTACACTTGTACCTCGGTTTATGAACTTAATTTTTTCCACGATTCTGGTCCCAAACCGAGTTGGACAAGAACCGAATCAAATTCAATGGTTAGGGTCAATGTTGACCTTACAGGGAAATTTGATTCGGTTCTCGTCCAATTCGGTTTGGGACCAGAATTGTGGAAAGAATTAACTTCATGAACCGAGGTATTTTATTTTAATTTTAATTTTTTTCTTTTTAGTACCGGGGATTGAACTCGGGTCCTTGAGCTCGCACAGCAGGCGGCGAAACCACTGAGCTAAATCCCCGGCCCAAACCGAGGTATTTTAAAAGAACTGCTACATCATTATTACAATAATGGAAAATCAGCATTAGTTATGTAGAAATATATGTATATATTCTTTAAATTGCACAGGTAAACCAATGCACAACCTTCTTAAAACCGTTCTTACACCATTTAAAATTACACAGGTAGGGCCGGGGATTTAGCTCAGTGGTGCCGCCGCCTGCTTCGAAAGCGCAAGGTCCCGAGTTCGATCCCCAAATAAATAAATAAACAAATAAGTAAAATCACACAGGTAGCAATACTATTGGAAACACCACCGCCTTTGCAGGAGTTGGCCGGAGCTCTGGGCTCCCTACTCAGAAAAAGCGACTTCAAATTCTCTTATCTCCAGCCCCACGCCCCTACCCCGGGCGGTCGCTCCCGGAGAAGGTACAGGGCAGGAGCAGGAAAGGCACTGGAAGTTCTGAGTTCCCACGCGGGGCGATCAGAGGACGCAGAGTCCAGAGCGAGACTCTGACACCCAGTCCAGACGACAAGCACGGGGAGGGACTGACCTTCTCGCGCAGGGTGCAGTGGACGTCCGAGGCGACTCGCCCTTCCCACCAGGGCTCATCCATCATCACCACTGCAGCTCCGCGAAGCGCGGCTACCGGGGTCTCGGGGTGCACCCTGAGGGGACACGGGAGCGTCAGCGGCCGAGCGAGCGGCGGGCGACACGCGCCCCCGGGTACCCCCTCCCCGCTCGGCCCCGGCCAGGGGCTCCGGCCGGCGCCCCCTCCTGCTCCACTCGCCGGAGCTGGCGGTCGCTGCGGTCAGGGGACGCCCGCGGTGCCTCCTGCCCTGTGCCCGCTGGACCTGCGGCGAGCTCGCGCTGGGCAAGGACTCGCAGGATCCTGATTTCCCTTCTGCAAAAGTTGCAGAGAAAGTTGCCGACTGCACGAGCTCGCCCGCGGCCGGGGCTCCGGCGGCGCCCCCGGCTGGCCGTCCCCAACTCCTCCCCCGCCGCCCAGCCTTTGTCCTGCTCCCACATCCTGCCCTCGAGCCGGGGCGAAACTCACGCATCCCTGTTCTGCGCGGGGGGCTACGGGAGCCGGGTACCTCCCCGGCCGAGCCGTGGCGCCCTCGGGTGCCCGTCGGCGACCGGCCCCTGGCCCCGGCGCTCGGCGCAGTCGGCCGCCTCCGCGGCCCGCTCACTCCTCCGTGCCACGCCGCGCCCCTGCGTGCGCTCGGGTCCCGCCGCGTCTCGCAGCTCCGGCCGCCGGGGGCCGCCCTCCCTCGCCGGGGGAATTGGGGGCCGGGCCTTGCGCATGCGCCGCTCGCGCCCGCACTCCGCGGGGCGGGGGGCTGGGAACTGGAGCTTTTCTTTCCCTGGCTCTGGCTGGGCTTCCTGCCCGCCCTCCTCCCTCGTTGGGGCGGAAAAGTCCCCCGTCTCACCTTGGCGGAGACTCGCGGGAGGCTGCTGGGTACCCCGCCGGCGTATGCGAGGACCAGGCGCCACCTGCGCGCAGCCCTGGGGAAGCGCGACGCCCCCTGAAAGTTCTCCTGGTGCTGGCCGGTGCTGGCCAACCTGCGGCCGGTCCACCTGTTTTTGGTTTTTGTTTTAAAAACTGTCCCGCGATGAGAAGGTGGATTTCCAAACCACATTTCCCACAAATGCTCCAGAAACCCCCCTTAGTTATCCGCGAGTTCCCCCTTGGAAAGGGGCCTCTCGCTAAGTCGCTGGTAGTCCTTGTGCTCCTACAGATGGATCCATGCCCTACGGTGGAGGAGAACCAACTAGTCTTGGTACCCTGGGTGGAAAGCAGTGCTTTTTTTTTTTCTTTTGGTACCGGGGATCGAACTTGGGTACTTGCGTTTGCGCAGCAGGCGACGAAACCACTGAGCTAAATCCCCGGCCCAAGCAGTGCTTTTTAAGTTGATTGTTTTTTAAAAGACGCTTTCGTGAATGAGCCTATTTGAAGGCACAACATTGGGCTATCATGATTTTTGTGATATTGTACTTTGGGAGCTTCACAAACTTGGGATATAATCCGCCTACCGACTGGATGATTTTTGGCAAGTTTCTCACAGACTCAGAGCCTGGGATCACATAAAATAGGAATATGAATTGCAATAACACGCGGAAGATAGTGTCGTTAAGTGACAGAATTCGAGCAAGAGGATACATTAAGCCAGGTATAAAGTGAATACTCAGTAAATACTACTAAAAAGCCTTTAGTTTCTGTCTGGTTTTCTACAAGACCTGCGGGGGCGGGGGGGGCGGGGATTTAAAGTCAGTTTTGATAAGCTTCAATTGAACCTTGAAAAGCACTTTTAACATAAAAAGCTTATCAGTTGGGTTTTTGTTTTGTTTTGTTTTTGAGACAGGGTCTCACTAAATAGTTCTGGCTGGGCTTGAGCTCACTAGCTCACTATGTAGCCCAGGCTGGCCTTGAACTTACGGTGATCCTCCTGCCTCAGCCTCCCAAGTGCTGGGCTTACAAGCATGTGCCACCATGCCTGGCATGAGACCTTTTAAAGTGTTAAATACCTAGGAATAAATTTAATAAATGTGCAGGGTCTTAAAGAAAAAATTACAAAGACTGGAAGGTAATAAGGCAGCCCAAAGAGGGAAAAAAGATGGTAAAAATTCCAACTTTACCTAAACTATTTACTGAAATTCCACTGGTTCTGGGTAGATTGGGGGGGGGGCACTTAATTTTTCTAATATTCAAATGGAAAGATATATCTGAGAATAATTAAGAGGGCCAGGGATTTAGCTCAGTGGTTCCACCACCTGCCTCGAAAGCCAAGGTCCCAAGTTTGATCCCCGGTACCAAAAAAAATCAGAGACTAATCAAGAAATCTAAATTTTTTAAAATGTGGAGGTAGACCTGTATTTTAACCAAATCTTAAAACATCCTGCAGCACTTTAATAGCATTGCCTGGGCATGGTGCCACATACATTTAATCTCAGCATTCTGGGAGCCTGAGGCAGTACAATCACTTTGGAGCTCAGTGTCGAAAAACAACAGAACAAAATAAAACAAACAAACCCCAGTGTGCTGTTGTCATGAGAATGGATAGATTGTGTTAGTGTAATAACTGAAGCCTAGAAACATTCAATGTATTTAAAAATCCACTGAATGGTAAATGTGGCAGTGTACTTTTATAGGGAAAAGGATGGATGGATAAATTATTTAATAAATTAGGTGAGGGCCCGGGATTTAGCTCAGCGGTTTCGCCACCTGCTGCGCAAGCGCAAGGACCTGAGTTCGATCCCAGGTACCAAATAAATACATTAGGTGAAATTGGGTGCAAATATGAAATGTAAATTTGGGGTAGGTGTAAAATCATCACCAGGGCTGGGGATTAAAATGCTCAGTGGCACGGTGCCTGGCTCACAAGCACAAGATCCTGAGTTCGATCCCTGGTACCAAAAAAAAAAGAAAAAAGAAAATCTTCACCAAAGTAAACATAAGAGCTACAAGCAAACAGTGCCGGGGCTTTACCTCAGTGATTCCACCGCCTGCCTCCCAAGCACAAGGTCCAGAGTTTGATCCCTGGTACCAAAAAAAAAAAAAAAGAAAAGAGCTAAAGAGGGGTTGGGATGTAGTCAGTGATAGAGCGCTTTCCTAGCATGTGTGAGGCCTTGGGTTCAATCTCCAGCTCGGCTAGATAAATAAATACATCACAAGAGAATTAGAAGAAAACAAAGGTGAAATATCCAAAAGAGAATGCGTAGGTATTAAGGCACAGGAAGGAACTAAAAGCAAGGAGAGTAGATATATTGGAATAAATATGCAAGACTTACATAACATCAAATTATTACCAAAAGGCAAGTCACAAATTGGAGAACATATTCTTAACAAATTTGACAAAAGACTCATCTTACTGTATTGACCCCTTGCACAGCGCTATGTAGTACACTAACACTCGACATGCAGAAATGAAGGACGTGAACAGAAATGGTACCAAAGAAGATGTGCACATGGAGGAATATTTTTAAATGCCCATTCTTACTAGTAAGCACATTAGATATTTTTTTTAAAAAGTGGAGTACTTCTTTGTCAAGGATTTTAAAAAACATAATACAGGGCCGGGGATTTAGCTCAGTGGTTTCCCTGCCTGCTGCGCAAGCACAAGAACCCGAGTTCAATCCCCCAGTACCTAAATAAATAATAAAAAACAATACATAAGGTTGGCAAATACACAGTGTAGTTGGGAATATAAATTAATAGCATCTTTCTGAAAAACAACATAAATCAAAACTTTAAAAGTGTATCATTTAGCCGGGTGTGATGGTGCACACCTGTAGTCCCAGCACAGGAGGCTGAAGCAGGATTGCTGTGAGTTTGAGGCCAGCCTGGACTACACTCTGTTTTTTTTTTTTTTAAAAAGTATCATTTGATCCAACTATTCCACCTCTGGAAATTTATTCTGAAAAAATATAATCAGAGGAGTACAGAGAGTTATTTAGAAGGCATTTCATCAAAATGCTTCTCCTTTCGATCCCCAGTACCAAAAGAAAAAGTGCTTCTCTTTTTTTCTTTTTCAGCTGTGCTGCGACTGGAATTCAGGTCTGCGCATGTGCGAGGCAAGTACTCCCCGACTGAGCTGCATCCTTAGCTTTTTTTTTTTTTTTTTTGGTAACGGGGATCGAACTCATTACCTTGTGTTTTCCAGGCAGGTTTTTGTTTGTTTGTTTGTTTGTTTTGGTACCGGGGATCAAACCTTGAGCTTGCAGGACAGGCGGCAGAAACACTGAGCTAAATCCCCGGCCTTCCCCAGGTTTTTTATTACAGTGAATAATAATAATCCCTGTTGGAATAGGGAACTTTTTTTTTCTTTTATTAGTACATTTTAGGTATACAATATGTTTACATTTATCATTGGGTACTTCTACCTGTACATGATGTATCTAGGTTATTTTTTTCCCTAATACTTGTGCGCCCTTCACCCCCTCCACCCTCCCCTATTTACATAGATTTTGTTTCCTTTTTTTTTTTGGTACCGGGGTCCTTGTGCTTTCGAGGCAGGCAGCAGAACCACTGAGCTAAATCCCCGGCCCTGGTTTCCATTTTTTTTTCTTTTCTCATAATTTTTCCTTGGAACTTTTTTTTTTAATGAACTGCTTCTTCAAAAGCACTTTTTAAAAAGAATACATAATGAATTTGGAAATGTTCATAATATAGTAAATAAATAGGAGACTAGAGTGTGTCTCAGTTATTCCACATTCATACATATTCATGCAAACAAAGACATTGAAGAACATCCTTAAAAATACTAACTATAATCAGAGAGGTAGGATTATGGGCAATTTTAATTTACTTTTTTCTGGTGTGTCTGTGTTCCGTAAATTTTCTATAAGAAAGAGGTTTTAAGGGCCAGGGATTTATCTCAGTGGGTCCGCTGCCTGCCTTGAAAGCGCAAGATCCCAAGTTCGATCCCCAGTACCAAAAAAAAAAAAAAAAGAAAGAAAGAAAGAAGGAGAAAAGAAAAAGGTTTCAGTTTCATAACCAGGAAAAAAAGAATGAATGTTATTTTTTTTGGGTTTTTTTGGTACTGGGGATTGAACTCGGGTCCTTGTGCTTGCACAGCAGGCGGCGAAACCACTGAGCTAAATCCCCGGCCCCAATGAATGTTATTTTTATTTTTATTTATTTATTTATTTATTTTTAGGGTGGATA